GAAGGGGCTGGATCCACCAATGCCTTCACTGGTTAATTAGGCAAGAATGAAGCCTTAAATACCTTCTACTGAGGTCGCTAGAAATGCCCTCTTTTTGAGGGACTGTTAAAACTTTCAAAGCTGAATACGGCATTTTTCCTGAATTCTTGAGAAAAAAAAAGCGATTTAAAAGACTAAGACCAATCCGGGAAACAGCTCTTTCAAAAACAGCTCCCTCTGTATCAGTAAATTTAATAAAAATTCAAAAACCCTGGTTCTTCTTATTCGCCAAATGTAAAGAGGAAAGGCGAAAGCGCGGTGCGTAAGATGAGGGAGAGAAGCAGATTGTGAACTATTGCTTACTTTGTAGCAATAGTATGAGTGCTGCGTCGGCCAAAATTTGCACGCTGAAGTTTTTCACCGCGATAGCCAAGTCCTTTGCGCTCACTGCCAATCTGTACATTATCAGCCTCCTCGAATTCCACACCAATCGCCTCCTGCCGTCCTACACCATGAGGTCCGAGACCAGTTCCGGGAGACCAACCACACCTGAGAAAAGAAGTCAAATTCGCAAAATTAAATTAAAAATACAGAAGTGTGACTAAGGAAGAATAAAAAGCATAAAAGGTGTAATATGTCTTCCACTTCTGTATGAGTGAGTGTGTTGTGCTGTGTGTGTATGTGTGTGTGTGTGTGTGAGTGAGTGTGTGTGTGTGTGTGTGCAGAATGTTTGTTAGTGTTACAAATGCATTTTTGCTCATGTAAGGAAGGCTGACCAGCAATAAAACTATACAGAAAAGTTTCTACTCCATGTGGACAGCCAATTTTTCAGGGGAATTGCTCCACAAGTACACTCTAACATGACATACCAGTGCTCTGCCTGTGCCTGCCCAATAACACCAATAACATAGGGTTCCTAAATCGATTGTTTGTACAGTGTTAAGTATTCTTGGTCTGTCAAATATATGCCAATATTAATGCCTTCCCCAATTCCCAATTGTACTGTGATAAATCTCAGCTATTTTTTAGGTAAAGATGGCATTTGGTAACCCCAAAAAACGTGAAGGATGAGTACTGGAAATGGTAAACACAAAGCATAGGCGGATCCAGGACGGTCTCCAGGTGGAGCGGAAGGAGTGTATGGCTTCTACCGGTGATAAGCAAAAGGAAGGAGCAAGGGAAGTGGGGATTCTGGCGTAGCGATAATCCGGAGGGAAGGGGAAGTGGGCTTCTGGAGGGGAGAGGGGGAGGAGGAACCGGGGAAAGGAGATAGAGGAGCGAG